AGACAGGTTATTCTCAAATCAAACGATGACGAGTATAGAATTCCAAGGTTTTTGAACTAGGTAGAATGACACCGTTGTATCTTGTGAAGCAGACTGATTTACTATTACTTTCACAGGCATAAGTAGAATATAAATCTGATTACTCATAGAAATTAACTGTTTACTTCTGTTTTAGGTAATGATTTAGAAAACACATGACAGCTTGGTTTTATTTTATATTTGTTACATCTCTTATTATTTCTAAGGATTTCATCTGTCCCATATGATACGTAACTTTTAAAACCAACTCGACTTTTTAAAAAGAACAAGAATCCATTTATTTAAGTTAATTGTGAGAAGAAATCAGCAGTTTTACAGCGAAAATGAAACATTACATAAACACACTGTTCTGCAATAATTAGTTCATCTTTCTAAACTTCTTTCAAGAGAATCAGAATGAATAACTGCAAGCTATGCTGGCAATCAAAGCACAGCTTATTACAGTGTAGTAGGCTGTTTGTTTCACACCGCCTAAAACAAGAATAGGGAAATGATATTAATAAATATTAAAAATATCTCTTTTTTAATATGCATAACTTAAGAATACACTTTAAAGTAATTGAAATCATACAATGAATGTGATCAAGAAGATGTCTACTATAAAGTCAATTTTGATATTGATGTTGGTTAACGTAGCTCAAGTTCCATGATTTATGTTGCTAGAGGTGTATTTGTGTGTGTCATTTTGACTGTATACATTATCATTTGACATGATGATAATAATAATAGTGATAAAGTCGACTGTTCCTCCTAATCAGCTTTAGACTTCCAGTTTATCTAACAGTTAAACAACCATGTAAAGACACTGTGGAAATACCTGTTGTGATAGTAATCTATTTACCAAAGTATCATTTCATTGTAGTTACTTCACTTTTGAATGATTTCAAGTATGTTTCTGTACTAACAAATAAACTGGTAACAATCCGGTTGCTTCCCTTAAGTCATATACTAATCATAACTGGAATAAAGCGAAAAGTAAAAAGGTAAGTGTGACGTGTTTGTATTTTGGTGCCGCTCTTTAAAGATAAAAAAATACGCCCATTTTATGAAAGAGACAGTTGGCTGTTGAAATTTGCTCACAAATAAAGTCAGCTAAGGACTCAAGAATACTCCTCTTTGTTCCCATCGTTACATGTTTTCATATGACTTTGAGAAAGGAGTAATTCCTTTCAGAATTGATATTCTGCATTTTCTAAGGATATTATCTTAGTAAAAATATATTGACTGATATCGAGATTGATAAAAACTCCATTTAATATGGATCTGAGTACTATCTAGTCTGTTTATACATGAATTAAATGTGTAAAATAAACCGCAAATGGCGCCAAAGTGTGTAGATTTTATCATATTTTGTTACAGGGAATCTGAGGAACAAGCAATTTGATTAACTTACCTGACGCAGGTTTCATATTTGTCATCACTAAAAGGAAGTAATAAATTCCTTTGATTAGCATTTGGAAATATTTGGATTAGGAAAAGCGTTTAACACTGTGATGCACAAGTTTGTTACACTAACACCTCGTTCATTTATTCAGACTAGATCAGTTTGATGTGATGTATGACCATTGAAATTAACAGTGTTCATTTTTATACGCTGTTATGCATGATATCAAATAGTCAGTTTAAGTGTAGAAGTTGGCCAATGTGGCAGTATATGATTCCACATAAACCTGTTTTTTGCATATTTCACGCAGTGAGACAGTAATATTTACTGGATGACGTTTTCAACACCATTTGTTTTTCATAATTATATCAGCTAAGTGAGTTTGAATGTTTCGTGTAAAAGGATCAACAGGCGAAACATGTTTATGTACATATATAGCAAAAATATGTATTCAGACATCTATTAAAACAAAATAATTTAGCCTGAAGAGGAAATTATCTGAAAGGATTTGCATATATATATATATATATATATATATATATATACGCAGATCTTGAGTATGAGAGCATTTACTTTGTTCATGCTAAGGTTACTCAGCATCTATTATTTTAAAACAGCATGCATGTTTGACATAAAAGTAAAGAATTATTAGCCATGGCTACAGTTTTTCTCCTTCATCAGTAAAAGTTTTTGAATGTTAAAACCGGGTGTATATCTCCAGTTGATTTGATAAACAAAGACTGTTATCAATCTCTCCCTTTTCTCTTCTTTGTTTTATCTTAGAATCATCACTTTGTCTAATTCTTCTGTATGACTGCATATAACTTAATGTCACACCAAGACGTAACACAGGTTAGACTATAGCTGGACAAAAAATAAGTGTTCAACTTTTTTAGCATCTATTTCAGTCAGAAGGAGACCTAGATAATTCAAGTAATTTGAACATAGCCCTTAAATAAACTGCATTTATGCTTCGTACTAAATATATCGACCATGTGAACGAAAAACTAATAAATATCGTAATTAATGCAATATACGTTGATTTCGATTTCCCAAATGTTGGAGATACATGGACATTAGAACTGCGGTTCACTGACTGAATCGTCAGGAAACCGATTTTGAATAGATACAAAGCAAGGTTTTAAATAAACGCTCAGCATATGTTAGCAAGTTGTTCAAGCTTCTCGACTGTTCAGTTGAATTTAACCCATGGCGAATAATTTTATTATTAGTGATTTCTCATTAATCTCTTTAATCGGTTTTTATAATGTGACCAGTTGGTGTTGTCTTCGAATCAACAGGCATTGATCTAAACTTTTGGTCAACGAAGTTGTTGAAAGAATGTAGATACCAGTGGATGCGCCAGTGGTTCAATGATGGAATGCTGGTCAGCCATATAAGATGTCTGGCTTCCATTCTTACATGGCAAACTCCTAGGCCTTCTCTATCATGTAGTAAGCCAGGAAATGAGAGTATGTTGAGTAAGGGGCTTACAATTCTACCCGTATAAATCGCGTTCACTGGTGAAACTTCAAAAGCCCGATTCCTTCTGTCGACTTGGAACGTACGGAATGAAAAAAGGCAGTGGAGATTTTTCACGGTGAGTTACAAACTAACAGTGAGTTGTCACTGTATGTAAATTATGTGTTAATGAATGACACACATATAATAGAAAAAATAACTCACTTCTTGTTGTCGCTTTTAAATTACAAAAACAGAGCGATTTTGAAACTTTTCATTCATAGAAAATACTTTTTAAGAAATGTAGTGAAATTAAATATCATTCAGGAGACTATTTTGGCGATTTCATTTACAACAGCTGTAAAATCGTAGTTTGAATCATTTCGAAGTTCGTTAGATTAGGATGTGTCAATCAGAATTTGATGAGGTACAGACAAGTAGTGTGTGGTAAGACGCTGTGTAATAAAATGACACAATGAACTAAATCTCAAAATGAACATGTTTCTAGGCTTATTATCCGAACATATTTAATATTTATCAACAAAATCTGCAGAATTTCAATTTGTTGTTATTGAATGCGGCCCAATTTAAACTTATTATGCCTCAAATAATCATTTAACATGGATATTTATTTAGCATGTATACTCATATTCTACCGAAAAAGAATATTAACTTTTATTCAAGCCGATTTTTAAAAATTTAGTCATGATTCTCAAGTTTGTATCTCCTAATGTATTAAGAAACCATATTGTATAACTAATAAGAGACAGGTGGTGTTAAAGCAGTGTCCTTCATTCAAAGAATGAGTAACTATTGTCAGTAACGCAGATTATTTCCTCTTTTGTAATCTTCGTTCTCAAAGAAAAGCTTGTTTATCAGTGGAAGAATTTAAAGTTGAAATAATATTCCTTTTTTAATTCAGACTGATAACAAATATTAAAGAATTTCTTTTCAATGAATTCATTTTATTTGCCTGTACAGTCAAATGTTTAGACGATTTCCTTAACAAAGAAGATACTAGTATGTATATATACATATGTGCGATTGTACAGCTATGCAAAATGAAATCGTCAAAAACACTCTATTCTCTAAACTACTTGCTATTTTCTCAATATTACCCTAATTTGGAGTTAAAGTTTGTCTTCATAAAAAATTCATAGAGGCACAATAATTCCTATCAAAAATTGATAATCACTTGATGTTGACATCGTGGCTTCATATTGCAGATCGTTTAGGAAATTAAGTCTGGATACTGAGGCAGGTTCATTCTTACGTGAACACTCAATACATTTGGCTATTTTACTATGCAAACAAGTGAATTATTTCAAGTAACTCGACTTGAATTCAACTTAAACACTGTTGGCTAAATATTAATGTAATGTGTATATAGACTTAGTTACAACAGGCGATATGGAGTGTTGAAAATTGTTATAAAAGGGCGTGAATACCATTCAAATATTCCTTTTTGAACTTTCACAAGGTAAAAGAAAACCTGTTAAAAATTAATACTTACCTTGCTAGGTTTGGGGCTTTATACGGTAAATCAGTAGGTGAAATTTGGACCTCATACTGATAGTTTTATGGTTAAATGAAAAGTCAATACATCTGGCTATTTTGACCTACTAACAAATGAATTACTTCATATAACTCGACTTTAGTGGAGCTTAGATATTTGTCACTCAATTTCAACATATTAGCTATGCGTACGTTTTTTACAAGAGGCATTTATGATTGCTGAAAGGTATCACAAAAATGCTACTAATGGAATAAGCTTAATCCTGAGTGAACATTCGCATAGTCGAAATGAATCCTATTGAAAATTAACACTTACTTGTGGTGGCTGTCGTGGCTTTATATCATAAATTATTTGGAGGAACAAAGACTTTATATTGACATTGATTTTTGGATAACTAGTCAATAAACCTGACAGGTAACTCAACTTGATACGACCTTAGCTAGTTATTACTAAACATCGCTGAAATGTATATGTCTCCTTTCTAGCAGCAGACGATAGTGAATGCTAAAAATTGTTATAAAACGACATAAGTGCAATAGAAGCATTCCTTAATTAACATTTACGAGGTCAAAATAAATCTTATTAAAAATTGATACTCACTTGTTGTCGTGTCTATTTTTTGTAGACGAAGAAAAGAGTCACTTAACTACATCGTCTTTAAAAATGGCGACTTTTACAATGCAATCACATATCTCAGCATTATAGAATTTTGTCTGGTAATCTTTATGTAACGTCATATTATCTGATACGTTCCAATGCTTCTAAACTAATAGTGAATGCTTGAAACTGCATTGGGGCTAAGCGATGCAGTTATAATTTATATAAATAACGATGCGTTAAGTTCTTTTAGTACTAACCATTCGCTATAGAAATTTGTAAATGTCTGATTTTAATTTAGTTTTACTTGCGGTAGGGAAATGTTTTAATGTATATTTTTGGTGCATAAGTTCAGTTATTCGGTAAAACTGCTTCTGTTTGTTACATTTGAAGAAGCACTGGAAAGCTTACTGCCATTATTTACTTTTAAAATATGCCTCAGTTTCACTTTTGGCAGGAAACTTTCAAAATAAATTCTATTAAAAAGTAATACTCACTTGGTGTAGTTACCATGGCTTTATATAATAAACCATTTTGAGGGCTGAGGACTGGATACTAAGACAATTTTATGCCAAATGTGAACAGTTGGTACATCTGGAACTTTCACTAAGCTAACAAATGAATTGCTTTGGAAAACCCGATTAGAACTGAGCTCAGATATTTATTAGCAATTATCGATATGATATTTCTGTCTACTTTCTTACACCAGTTGACTATGTGTCATAAAATCAAACGAATGTGGTATCTATTGTGATATATACCTATTGGCCAATTAATCTTAGACCTTTTTTCATGAAAAGTTATTTTACGTTCCTGAACAGAATTGAAACGATTAACTTAGAGGCGAATCAACTTGAACTTACTAGAGCCTCGACCTTTAGATTAGATAAGAACGGGAGTTTCGCTATTAGATATATTCTAATAAAGCATTTTGAAAGCTAAGCTTAAAGCTGTACACTATAAGAATTACATTGCAGAAGGTTGAATATATGTGGAATCCTAAATCAGTTTAGTCAAGTATATATATATAACAAAAGTAGTTAACAGAAAGTGCCAGCCTGTATTTCTCCGAATACGAGAAAATATGCTATGAACTATTACTTGAATAGCCGATTTATTAAGCCTTTTAACTCACACGGTAAATATCGTATAAAATCACTTTTGTCTTCAGAGTGTTGCTGTGTATTCTGACTCTGCAAAAATACTTTCTCAAATATTTTGTAACTGTTGTTTCTGTATACACACATACATCATCATTTATGTGTAGTCATCTTCCTCAGATTAAAACAGTCACTGAATATATTTCACTATGTGTACAAAGGAAAAGGTAAGTGGACATAGTTCGTACTAACTTACCGAATAAACCTGCAGCATCTGCGAAAACATAGTTTGGACAATGAAGAGTTGCAATTAAAAATGTGAAATATGCACCAGAATTATAAAAATAGTTTTAAAATCATTAGCTGTATGTTTCAAATACCTGCCGGGACGTACAACATCTTTCCAAAATGAGATAGGGTGTTTTATGTTCGCATTTAAGGAGAATAACACTTAGATTTTATCACAAAATATACAAGCATAAAAAGGAGCTGTTGGCTGTAGAATCTGATTTCCATTATTCAAATGAGATCACAATGAATCATGTTCACTAAGTGATATTTCTTGACTAGGCATTCCAACCAATTATGCATTAAGATTAACGAAATGATGTTTCTAATGTAGTCAAATCTTTCGTATTTCTAGAACCAAACAAACATACTAGTGGAAAGTATAGAACAGAAGACAGAACAATATAATCTAATGTTTTAAACTTACTTGCATATTCTGTCCACAGACTGGCTGACAAAATAACAGCAAATACGCATACGAAGTATCTTAAAGTTCCAGCAGTCATGTTGTTTAACGCACAGTGGAAAAAATGTACTTCTGAATATTTTGTTTTGAATTAGCAGTATTTATATACCATCTCATGAAGTGAGTATGCAGCAAAAAAATAAAACAAATAGTGTCCATCAACATTTTATTAATTATTTCGCTTTCAGTGGTAAATAATTTAAAAACATCAAGCATTTGACATCATCATTTGTCGCCTGAGGTCCCAGCATAAAATTCATAGCATTCAGCGGCATATCTTCATTTAACTCAGTTCTTTATGACCACTTTCAACCTATGTGACGACTTCCCGCAGGTCATTATTTTCTGCTGTGTTACCCTCATAATGTTGAAGCAGTTGCGTATCGAACGACTTGACAAAGTTAATGAGGTTAAGGTGAAGATGTCTCTTTTCCAGTACACGCACGACTTGTGTCTTCCTTAATTCTGCCTGTTGCAAGCATTTTCAGTCCTTCCAGAATGTTGAGTACTAATATTTTGACCTAAGGGGATAGAAACACGATTCCGTGCCAGTTATTACAAAGGCTCGAACCAGTATCCATTAGTAGTTTGACAAGGTAATACCATTCTTCCAGCCCGTAGACATCTCTCCTTCCTTCCAAATCTTCTGCAATAGTGGTGCAAGCGTATTTGGTGTGGACTGTGGTTCTCTTTTCAGACCTTGAGGAGATTTTTCTTCTCCAGTTGCTTTCCCAACTTCGGGTACTTTTATGTCCCTCGAGGGTTCTGATTTTGTAGAAGCGTTGATTTCACTGGCAGTTCTTTTTCCGCTAGTGGTATTTTGGGATGAGTTGTGGGCGGCAAACAGTTTCAGCATCATTTGTAATGATTAGCCTGGCCTTTCCTTTATCCCACTTCTTTACTGGCTGCGTCCCTTTGACTATTTTTGGCTGACTCCATTTGCTTTGATCTCTTCTCGAGAATCAACCTGATTGTATGGTACAGTGTTGTGAGTACTCTTTTACACCTAGCCTATTTTGGTTTTGTTCCCACTATAATGTGGAAGCGTTTTGGTGTTTCCTAACATTCTTTTTTATTGCTCTACCCAGTGCGCTGCAGATTATGCTGAGTTTCTCACTTCACTTTTCATCTGTGCACTGGTTTATCTTCTCTTTCACCATCCTTCACTCCTTTATCAACTTCCAGGTGTCAGTGGAGAGTTGCTTCTGATCCTTCCTCTTCTTTTGACCTTAGATTTGTCTGTGAAGACTACCTTCCACATCTCTTTTAGGCAGTTATATTGTTATTTCATGCAGGTGTTACCTGGATGATTTTTCTCAGTGTCTTCGACGTTTTCCTAACAAGTGTCATAGTGACCTTTGAGTCTTTATTCTTCGGTTTCTTAGTAAAGAATTTTAATTGTGGTCAATATCCATCTACTCTGAAGGCTATTAAATTAACATTGAAGGTTTCCTGTACTGATTAGTAATCTGAACTTATATCTGCCTCTGTTTTCTATCTTTAGCGAAATAAACTGCATCTTAGCTTTATCTAGATTGAGATGAAATATATCTGATTCCTGTTGATCAGTCTAATAAAATCTATGATGTCTTAAGTGTATCCTTATGCTTGTTCAGAATGCCTGCAATCACTAAATCATTAGACGCTCTGAAGTCTGCAAATGCTTCTCTGTTCTCATTCACTTCATCGAATGCCCGTCTCTTAACACTTAGAGAGTTCATCTCCTGCGCTGTCGACCTGACTGGTTTTCACATCACCCATTCACGTTTGATATCGCCATCTAGCTGAGGTGTTTGTTATCCATAACTATTCGCAGTTGTCTGTAGAGTTCATCTTTCTGTTGATCTACATTTGCTGTAGAAGCGTAGGGTAATTATAACTTTTCTTCCTTTTGGATAGCATTTTGCAGTCTCCTTTGCGCAAGGTGATTACATGTTGTTAAAGACGTCACGATGGTCACACTGCCAGTGTTTCCATGTTTGGCATCTTGATTACCGAAATATATCACAGATCTCCCAGTTAACATTTCGGAGGAGTTATTTCCACTCTATTTATACTCACACTTTTGTATCGTATTTTAGTATTTCTCGTTCAATCTGAGCAGCCTTGCTAGCGTCAAATATCGCGTGAACATTGCATGTCCTCATGCTCAGTTTTACTATCATCTAAAAGACATATATCAATTAACAAGCTTCCTGAATTTTTTCACTCACCAACATCATCCAGCCTCTAAATGAGGAGTTTCTCCGATTCTGAAGCAGAATGTCTTTTCGTTTTGAACTTTTATTAGCAATCGAGACTGTTAACCTCACATCCACACTAAGCCAGCTAGATAAGCCAAAACAGGTTTTCAGGACTTGGTGATTGCTATTACTGCTCTAATTAGTAGTGTTTTCTAACTTACGTAAACAAGTGAATTGCGAAGGCGATATGCAAACAAAAAAGAACCTTGTTTTCAATGAAATGATTCCTGAGCTTTAATATAGGGTACATGTGTCTCCTCTGTTCCCCTTTGATCGTCTCAAAATTAGCTGCATGTCGATTTATTCAATTGAGGTACAAGGCATAATGGTGGTGTTTGATAAATGAAGATTATTAGTTGTGGACACAAAAGCCTAAACAGAGTTAACAAACAATGCCTCTTTTAAAGTTATTTCTTTGCAGATTGCCAACAGTTTATGGTTGTTAGTGTTGCAGTAAATAGTACTGTAATTTTACTTTAATAACTGAATTTTATGTCAGTATTATTTTCACTGTGTACATATAGTAGTCAGAAAGTCAGAAAATTCAACTCTAACATGCCTAGTGGCTGTCTTCCTTTTTAATCATATAATGCGAGATGAAAAGCCCAAAAGTTACAAAAGGAAAATAAATGGGATGTAAAATCACTTTCTCTTAGCGTTAAGGGGAGTGAATAAAGGAAGTTATTCATGATGTTAAGAAACAGAAAATATATAACAGTTGTGAGTGAATACGTCTAAATAACATTAAAGTGCTGATAAATTCCCGCTTCTGCATTACGAACTAACAAAATGAACAGAACTGATGGAAACAGATCTTCGGAATCATCCAATGTGTTTACTATTTTATAGGTTTTATAAATACCAAAATAATGCATTTAAGACATGTTTTATTTACCAGTTTTCATCAATTGTATTCATCTTCCTGCTGCCTTAAATAAAGTATTACAGTATATATGCGTTATACTACATGTAACAAAATAGAGTTTAAATGTGTTGCTTTCATAAAGAATTTAAAACTAATGAACCTGATGTGGTCATGCAAACAACTTCACCTAATGTACTAGCTCACTAATTTTCCAGCCAGTTAAAAACCCGAGTAAAGAGGAGGGTTGGGTGTGGGGCTAGCAAACCTGCACCAGAAAACCATTCAAACTGCTACAGAAACTTTAACAAACAGAAAATATATACAAAATCCAAAAGAACTTTCAAATAAAAATCTTATACTTCGCTCGAATTGGACAGGCAAAATGACACAGTGGGCTGATGATAGCCTTCAGGAAGCCAGTCAGTCGATGTGTATTCTCACGATAAAAGCAAGAATAACAGTGGGGACGGGGAATGTCCGTACAATATATGAGGACGGGACGGCTGTACAGATAGCTGGAGAAATGAGATGTATCATAAAAGTTCGCGGAATCTGTGAGAGCAGATGGAATGGATGTGGAATTTCGAAATTGTCAAGTGAAGAGTCAGTTATCTACTCCGGTCTGGTCAACCAGACGACAACCACGAACACACTGAGGGAGTGAGTCGCTGTCATTATGTCACCAGTGTCAGCCAAAGCTCTAATGCAGCGGGAACCAATCTCCTCCCGCAGGATCATGACGGCGTGATTCAAATCAGAAGGAAGGAAGGTTACAACTATCCAATGCTACGCACAGTGACACAAACAACGCAGAACCATAGAAGCAGGAAATTTTTTATGGATAACTACACGCATTAATGGACAATATCCTTATTAGCGACATCGAAATACTTATGGGCGATATGAATGTCAGCCGAACGGGGAGCAGGTGATACAGGAAGAGAAGTCATAATGGGTTGAGAAGCTCTTGCTCGATGAAATGAATGAGAACGGGAAATTATTCGCATACTTCTGCGTCTTCATTGACTAGGTGATCAGAGGGAGCGTATACAAACACAAAGATATACACAAAGCAACATGGATTTTGCTTGACGGACCAGACAGACTTCATCTCAACGCCGCTCAAAGAAGTGGAGATGCAAGATGCTGAGATACAATTAGGAGAAGGGGAGCAGATGTGTGCTCAGACTATCATCTAGTGGAAAGAACCATAATGGTGAAGCTGAAAGCCCTCAAAGCAACTGGAGATAGCCAAGAGCCCATGTTCAATACCCAGAAGGAGGACTATACTACACAGGACACACACACGTTTGCCATCAATTCAAAGTCAGAGATACTATGTAGCATCACCTATGAAACCTGTATGGAAGAACACTGAGAATGTTCGGAGGTGGCATTCAAGGAAACGAGTACAGCTGCTCTTGTAAGGAAGAAGTGGCAAGAAAATGAATGGCTCTCAACGGAAATCTGCCTGGAAGCTAATCGAGGAAGGGAGGATGGTGAAAGAGAAGATGACTCGATGCAGAAATGGGCAACAGAAGGATAAACTCAGTTCAATGTACACTACACTTAATAAAGAAGTGAAGAGGAGTTTGGGGAACGAAAATACAACTCCAAAACGCACTGGCGACTGAATTAGAACAGGCGACAGTTAAATGGCACTTCAAATCGCCATACTCGGTAACCAAGCTACTATCCAAGAAGAGTTCAACACAGCTGAAAACAATGAAAAATAGTGAAGCAAACCTAATGACCAAATAGGCTGAATAAATAAAACAAAGGCTGGTTATTCTATTGTGGGTAAAATTTATTTTGATAGAGTCTCACAGTGTTATACAGTTATAGTTACTGATGACTTTCAAGCACAAGACTGATCACTTCAGTGGACTGCTGAACAGGCCAGCACCTAAAACTTGTCCGGAAAAACACCGA